AGTATCACTACAGAAGGAGATTGCCCAATCTTCCTTCCAAAGAGTGGCTGGTGGGTTTGAACCACCAGCCTTCTGGTTAGCAGTCAAATGCCTTAGACACAATGCCACCGGAGCTCCTTTATTAACATTAGCTATTATTTATTGTTTACTATGTGTCAGTTGCTCTATATATACTATCTTTAATAGTTACAACAGTCCTGAAAAGCAGACTTTGTTATCTCCATTTTGTAGATGAGAATACTAAGACTCAGTTTAAGTGACTTGTCCACAGCTAGTAAGTGGTGGAGCTGTGATTCAAACTCAAGTTAAACTGGTTTTGCATCCCATGTTCCTATCTATAACACGCTGGCCAGGGAACAAGGGTCAGAACCTCCACCAACCAAATTTTCCCAGTTGATAGGAGTTGGCAATTTGACAAAGGATAGAGAACCCATGAGTGAGAATAATAGAGAGAATGAATTTAATTCAGTAAAATCAAGAACTTTCTAAGAGTCAGCTCTGTTCAGACGTGGAAAGGGTTGCCTTTGGAGCTAGAGAGTTCTTTCTCAGTATTGATTTTCAGCTCAGGTGAGGATGAATGTCCAAGTGGCTGTGATGTGAAGCACCTTCAAGGGTCCTTCAAGCCCTGAGATAGATTTAGGGATTTGAACAATGAGTGTCTAGGTCCTCACCTTGCAGAAATGCTGCCCTATGACAGCCTCTTTCAAACACCACCGTTCTCTATTCTGCTCTTAATCTGGGTTAAAGAGATGGCATGTTGTTGTTGTTATGTGCCGTCGAGTCGGCCCTGACTCATAGCGACCCCTCCTTGGGTTTCCGAGGCAGTATCCTAAGGCACTTGACTGCTAACCAGAAGGCTGGCGGTTCAAACCCACCAGCCACTCCTCGGAAGGAAGGTTGGGCAATCCTACTTCTGTAGTGATACTGCCTCGGAAACCCAAGGAGGGGTCGCTATGAGTCGGGGCCGACTCGACGGCAAACAACAACAACAACAACATCACTACGGAAGTAGGATTGCCCAACCTTCCTTCCGAGGAGTGGCTGGTGGGTTTGAACCGCCAGCCTTCTCGTTAGCAGTCAAGTGCTTTTAGCCACTATGCTACCAGAGCTCCTACTGAAAGAGCATAGGCTTTAGAACAAGCAAAGCCTGGATTCAAAAACAGTAACTGGTGGACCTCGGGCAAAGAGCACAAGACCTCTGACATCAGTATTCTCGTGCATGTAAAGACAGGTTGAAAAGGCTTGTCTTAGAAGGGTGTTTTCAGGTTAAATATGATCAGAATCATGGCTAAGATGCTACATATAAGTACTTGATAAATTTTTTACCAGTTGTCATTAAGTCAGTTTGGAATCATGGTGACCCCATGTGTATCAGTGTAGAACTGAGTGCCATATGATTTCAGTGGCTGGTTTTTCAGAAGTAGATCACCAGGCCTTTCTTCCAAGGCACCTGTTCTTGGACTTGAACCTGCAGCCTTTCTGTTAACATCTGAGCACATTAACCATTTGCACCACCTAGGAACTTCATTTCATATGTAGCAGATATTTAATGATTTTAGTTACTTTTATTACTACTCTTTATTACTATAATGATTTTAAATTTTAATTATTACTTTATGTCCAGTTTTCAAATCTATTTTTCAAAACAAACTAATCCCTCCCTGCTTCTTCACCCTGGGCTCTCTGGCTCAGACTGTGACCCCACTATGTTTCCCAGGCTTCAGAGTTTGCAGCCTCAGAGACAGGCACAGCCAAAGGACATTGGCTCCCCCAGGTACATTAGCGCACCTGGTGCTATTGACTGAAAGCCCAGCAAGGTTTCGAGCTTCTGTCCCAGAGCAATCAGTCCCTCTTTTGGCAGCTCTGGTGCCTCATAGGAGCTGTGAGAGGAAGCATGGTGCTTTAGCAGGGAGCAGAGGAGACCACGCCCTCTCACTGCCTGCCTGCCTCCACGTAGGACACTCAAGGTCAGCGGCCTCCCCTTCAGCCTCTTAACCCAGATACACAAAGTCTTTCATTCAGAGACTGGTCACAAAGACTGCAAAGCATGGGCTACTCAGTCCCAGCACAGAAATGAACCTAAGTGTTGCCTCTGCCCCTTTAATACTCAGATTCAGAGTAACAGTAGACACATTCATCTACTCATGGCTGGAATCTATGAATCTTAAGACTTTTTTTTTTAATGAAATCATCTCTAAATGCAGCTAACTCTGACTTTCAGAAACTTGCTCTCTGTTCACTTTGACCTTTAAAATTGTTTTAAGACATTTCACATCTTGGCTCTGCCACCTGTTAGCCATGTGGCCCTGAGAGTTGCTTCGCTCCCTTGAACTTCAGTATTTTCCTCTGACGATGGTGCTGTGATGCTGGTTTCAGCAGAGCTTCTAGGCTAAGAGACTAAGAAGAAAGGCCTGGTGCTCTATTTCTGAGAATCAACTAATAAAAACTCTGTGGATCGCAGCAGTCCTATCTGCAGCTGACAATGGGGATGGCACAGGACAAGACAAAATTTAATTCTGTTCTGTTGTCATGGGGTCACCATGAGTTGGGCTGACTTGACAGTAGCTAGCAAGAATAACAAGTGAGCTAGTACTTGAGCTTACACCTGGTCTTGGGCAGCAATCAGACGACAAATGATGATCAGCCCTTTTTGATGACGAGTCCAGATGAGGCTCAGCAAAGGCTTCCACCCACACAGCCCTCCAAACAACCACTGCTTCCTCTCCTGCTTTTCTTCACAGGGATGATTAGCTGCAGTTTTTCACATTTGCAGGCATCACATTTCTCTTTGGCTATGAAGCCAGCCCTGGATACAGTATTCCCAGACATCTGAGCAGCACGCTTATAGTTGGAGATCTGCCTGCCTCAGGAGTTGTATTTCCTGTGTATTATATTCCTAGTCCTGTCCTTCCTTTTGTAAAACAAATGAATCATCTTCTAACACCTGGCTAGCTTGTTATCCACTCTGACCTCTAGATTTTTATCATCACACTTGTTTTTACCAGGAAATCCTTCCACAACTCTTAGTATTTGGCCAGGGACTTTTCTCAAAGATCTTCTATATCCATACAGCTTGATTAAATTTCCTCAGGAGAAAGATGAAGCAGTCTGCTTCTATAAAGATCTACAGCCTTGGAAAATCTGTGGGACAGTTCTACTCTGTCCTATAGGGCCGCCGTGAATTGGAATCAGCTCGGTGGCAGTGTGTTTGGTAGGTTCGAGTTATTAAACTCTACAAAGTACTTTCCTATAGTTTATCTCATTTGATTCTCACAAATCTTCCTAGAGTAGGTGGCAAACTCCAGATTTTGAAGTTTAGAAAATGGAGGCTCAGAGAAGGTAAGTGAAGTTCAGAGCTGGAATTTGAACTGACTCTATGACTGGTGCTCTTTGTTTTTCTTTTTCTTTCTCCACGCTCTTGGGTCGTCTGGATTTGCATTCTACAAAGACTTGGTCTCTACTTCCTCCAACAAGATTGTGGTAATCTGTCTGTTGGTTGTCCCTGCGCACTCTTTCCATCCTGCTCTTCCTCCACCCCCTGCCCTGCCTTGCCTGTCTCTGATGGATGGTTTGTGCATCTGTGCTGACAGCACCTGTCTGCCTGGCCTGGGAAGGGCACCGAGCTCTAGAGGTCAGCTGCACTCACTGCCCAACAACTGGGCTCATTTCCACTGACCGTAATGACTGAGTTGTCCAGAAAAGAACCGAAGCCATGCCATGCACATTAGTAAGAATCCATCACATTTTCTGAGTTATAAAGCAGTTTTACATCATCATGTTGGTCTGGATATACGTAACATTCAGAGTTCATCCAAATGTAAACTGAAGAGGCAAGGTTATCCCTGTTTCCTGACTCCCTTTGCTGTTCATATCTACCACTCCCTGCATTAATGCTGCCTCTACTCCTTTAGCCCTGACACAGGAGATCATCAATACATGCCTATTCAATTGCACTGAATTGTACTGCAGAGAGACAGGTTCCTGGATCATCATCAACTCCTCCTTCTTGGAAGAATCTCTGCTCTGCCTGGGGATGGGAGCAGAAATTAGAGGCGGCAGCTTTGATCTTTGGGCAACATTTCCTCGCAGACCATTGCTTAAAATTACTTCTCACTATGCCTGTCACTCAATGCGATAGGAAAAAAAAAAAGTCCTTGATTGAAACCTAGAAGAAACACTGGGAATCACCTCTCCTCCAGACTTTACCCTGATTGAGAATTACCCTCAAATTAAATAGAGGTTTTAACGGCAGTCTCTTTTTATGAGTCCAATTTTGATCGATTTTCAAATTCTTATAGCTAAGTCACTTGCTGGACATCTTTGGGATTTAAAATCAATTTTAAACCAACACACCTTCATTGAGTATTTGCTGTGTGCCAGACAGGGTATTGTACATTAAGAAATACCCAGCATTCACCCATACCTTTAGGAGTGCACAATCCCTTGTATAATTGGCTTCTGCTATATTGCATCTATTACAACTACTTTATAACTGTGCAGTAATTTACAGTCTAGAAAAATATCACCACTTCCATATTGGTCCTTGCAGTGAAGGAGACCAAGACCCTGTGGGCAGAAATTTTATCTCAAAGTCACCTTGATTAATCATATCATAATTCTAGGAATAGAATATAGGTTTTTTGACTTCTAATCCAGTGGACTTCCCATTGTTTCTTTCTCTTTTCCTACCATCCCAACTAAGACAATGGGAAACATTACTCCATCATAAAAATAGTTGTAGACTAAAAATACTCCCTTGCCCATTTCCTTGTCTATGAGGTTCCCTTGAACCTACAAATGTTAATCACTGTTTTAGGAATTTTTTGATAACTGGCAGGTCCACACCAGAATCAAGTATAACTTATGCCTTCTCACACAGAACCAGAATGGGTGCTGGTACTTTGGACTTGAAACACCCCATTGTTCTATGTGGCCCTTCAGAGTCCCAACCAGCCAGCAGGCCAGCCCACCCCTGGCCCAAACTGCTCTGTTCCACTTACCTGTCTGTATGGTCTGTGTCTGCTCAACTGAGTAAGGGGGGCTCTCATCCTCTTTAAATATCTAGGGGCTGTCACCAGCCTTGCCCTGTGCAGGGAAGGGCGGGAGGGAGGCTTAGGGGAGAGGGTGAATGAGACATGAGTAACACAACTGCTATCAGAGGCTGAAAATAGCCTGTGACCAAAGCCCTGAGTTTTGTTCCCCCCACGCCAGCTGTGAGGCCCTTGAAGAACTATATCACATAGGTTCTATTTTAATTGCCTGTATGGGGCCAAAGGATCAATTTGTGGAGCATATAATTTCTAATCAAGCAGTTGGAATGGGAATAAGGTAAAGAGGGACTTTATATTTGAAATAATTTCACCAGTCCCTGCCCCTGACCTTCATGGAGACCAATACAAGGGACCGCATGAATCATGAGCCATATCTGGGAAGCCTCTGGTCTAAGACCTCTGGTCCAAGACACAGGTCTACTCAGTCATGAAGGGAACTCAGAGCTAAAAATAAGAGTGATGGGTATCTGAAATGATACTTAGATAATCTCTGAAGAAGCTTGGGAGAAAAGGTCAGCTAATCATCAGGGTCCTGTCACTCCATGGCCTACTATCCTATGAAGAAAAGTTTCCTCCAAATTCAAGGGTTTGTATTACTTATCTGTTAATCGTCTTTTTTCACTTAAGAATTTGATAAGTCTTGATAATTCTTTGTAGCCCTACATTTTCTTTGGAGGTCTGATTTCTCTTTGGGTGGCACGTACACGTTTTGGCTTTGATCAAGCCTCATGGGCTCATGCATATCATAGAATTTCATACCTGACAAGGTCAGAGATGTAATAGAGCAATTCTTTGTGTTACATTTGATGAAACCTAGACACTGAACTTGCCCAAGATCAGACAATGAGTTATTGCAGGGTCCAGATTGAAGTTCAGGTCATCCGTCTCCTTGGCAAGGGCATTTTCCCTTAATGTTGCCCCGAATGTTAAGGTTAGGTGTAGATGGTATTCATCCAAGAAGCCTATAACCCAGCCCTTCAAATTCACTACATTAGCCCATCAGAGGCAAGCCCACAAAGCAGTTGGTTTCACTGAAGAGAAGGTTGTGGTGATTTCACAGAAATGGTGACAGCATAGCCTCGTGTGAGCTATCCTTGGTTTTCATGCAAAAGCAGTAGGACAATGATGAGAACCTTAGAATGCCAAAAGTAGAAGGGACTTGAGGTGTTTTCCAGCACCGTGGCTTATTTTAAGTGTGGCTTATTAAGCTGGAATAAGGAAGAGCAAAGAAAAAATGATGCATTTTAGTTGTGGTATTGGTGAAGAATATTGAAAATACTAGGATGGCCAGAAGAATGAATAAATCTGCCTTGGAAGAAATACAGCTGGAATACTTCTCAGAAGCAAGAAAGACCAGACTTCATTTCACATACTTTGGTCATGTTGTCAGAAGGGACCAGTATATGTGAAGGACATCATGCTTGTAATGTAGAGGGTCAGTGAAAAAGGGGAAGAACCTCAATGAGATGGATTGGCACGGTGGTTGCAATGATGGGCTCGAGCATAGCAAGGATTGTGGGGATGGTGCAGGATCAGACACTGTTTCATTCTGTTGTACATAGGGTCACTGTGAGTCAGAGCTGGTCGATAGCACCTAACAACAGTAACACATTTGGGTGTGAGCCTTTGTGCCTTTGAGAATCACTAACCCAAAACCAAACCCATTGCTATCCAGTGGATTCTGACTCATAGCAACCCTATAGGACAGAGTAGAATTGCCTCATAAGATTTCCAAGGATGTAAATCTTTGCAGACTGGCACATCTTTCCCCCACAGAGCAGCTGGTGGGTTCAAAGCACTAAGCTTTTGGTTAGCAGATGAGCACTTAACAATCACACCACCTGGGCTCCTTTAGAAGTCACTAGTTCTGGGGAATTTCTCTGACTTTCTGGTCCCTTACCCTGAATCCATTGTGGTAATGCTTACTGGTCACAGGTGGGGAAAGGCAAGGAAGACTACTGGCCCAACAGACCTGGATGCAGAGTTTCACTCATCACTTTGGTAATTGCCCAGAGCCCCCTCCCACTTCTTTTGTCTATGGATTCTGAGTTTGGAATGTTCTTATACTGCTTTTCATTGTACAGCAACACTCTACTGCTGGTGGTGTGGCCTGCAATCCTTCAGAACTTCTTCCTCTGAAAATCCAAGTCTTTCTGCTTTCTCTGGAACCGTTCAAAGTTTCTGACTTACTGATGGGAACGTTTGTATTTTGTTTTTCCATGTCATTTGTGACTTATTGTCCAATAAAGATCTTTCTTCAGCTCTGTAATTCCTTAGCCATCTCTAGAGTTGTGCTAATATGTTAGCTAATAGCCACATATTGACTATTTAAATTTAAATTATTTAAAATATAATTAAATTTAAAAATCAGCTCTTAATCACACTAGCCCCATTACAAATGCTTCGTTAGGTACCTGTGGCTAAACTTCTGCCTCATTATTCCTAGAACAACTATAAATGAGTAAGCCGTTGAGAAACATAGGTCACAAAGCAGACCAAGCAAGAAAGTGAGGGAGGACAATGACGGCAATCTAAAAACACATGTCTTAAAACATCACTGACCAGTCTGATCAGCATCACAGAAGAAGATCCTAGACAGAGTGGGAGAAAAATGTAGAACAAAATCTAAAATCGTAAAACAGACCAGACTGACTGGTCTGATAGAGACTGGTAGAACCCCTAAGACTATGGCCCTTAGACACCTTTCAAACCAGGAACTGAAACCTCCCTTGAGCATCACCTTTCAGCCAAATTACGGACAGACCTATAATTGAACAATCGTATCAGTGAGGAACATACTCCTCAGAACAATCGTGTAAGACCAAAAGGGTAGCATTTGCCCTAAAACGCAGCTCAGAAGGCAAGCAGGGGCAGGAAAGAAGGATGAAATGATGAACTTGGAGAGAAAGTAGGATAAGTTCTGTTATATTAGGGGCTTGCAACTAATGTCACAAAACAAACAAACAAAAAATATGTAAATTGGTGAATAGGAAACTAATTTGTTCTGTAAATTTCCATCCAAAGCACAATAAATTAAACACACACACATAATTACCTTATACCCAACAACAGAAAGAAAAGAGCTGTAAGTTATAAACATTAGTCTATTAAATCCTCAGAACAGCTTTGTAGAAAGGTATTATTTCCATTATATGAATGAGAAATGAATAAATGTAACACGTGAAAAATAAGTAGCTCTCTCTAAGGTCACACAGTTGAGTCAACAGTGAATTAATGGCAATGTTAGGACTAGAACCTACTCCTGCTTCACTAGTCTCCCAGGATAACTAACACTTTCTATGTCATTGGGAAACGCAGAATATGGAGGTGGCACAGCAATTAAAGCCCAGATCTAACTCCAAAACACTTCTTTCCTCCACAACAGTGGTTCCCAAATTTGATCATGTGTCCCTCAGTAAAAATTTCTGAGCATTATATTTAGAGAGACAGATCTAAATCAATAGATACAGGTACATTTATATATTTCTAAATTAATACATACAATAATGTTATGTACATTATGAAACATTCATGACTTTACATTTAGAAGGATAAAAATAAATAAAGGTTCTATTTTTTCTCATATTCTAATATTATTTCACACCCTTGGGGTGTTGCCTCCCCCTTTGGAAACCACTGCTCTAAACTCTACCACACAAAAGAGGGAATATTCTGCGGAAGAATTCAGAGACCTGAGAAGCTCAGCCTCCACCTGCCCATCCAAATCTCTCTGAAAAGAAGCATGATTGGGCCGTAATATATTCAGAGGTAGCCACAGTCTTGGAGCTTTCTCTATTCACCAGCAGTTGGACATTTGTCCTTGGCTCTTATTTCAAAAAGAGAATTGACTTTAGACTACAAATCAAAGGTTCTTCCTAGCCATGAACCCAATTTATGAAAGACAGACAAATGGACCAACAACACTGAAATGCATTAAGAAGGTCGTTTTTGTCCAAGAGATCAAAACAAATACTGTCACCTTCACTGAAGCAAAGTGAGACTTGGTGAAACACATAGTCCATTTACTCACCTTATCCAAATTTATTGTTTTATCGGTCTCCTTGTTGTCCTGGCCACTCCTCGATTGTTGATTGTAATGATAACAGTGCTCCTTACAAGATGCTTCTTAGCTTAACAGTACCATCATAGGTTTGCTTCTCTCTCAGGTACAGTCTCTCATCTCTCTGTCTCTCTACCCCTTTGTCTCTGTTTCTGTTTGTCTCCCAAGTAGTGGGAGGATATAGGTGCCATTATCTCCTGTCTGTAAATAGATTAGAAACTGGCTTGAGAGGTAGGTCACACAGCTAGTAAATAAATGATAAAGCCAGGACTTGAACCCAACTTTTCTGCTCCAGAGTCAATATTCTGACAGATTTTAACTGATCTGGTTGGCTGCTGGGTGGACTCAAACTTCTAATCTTTTGGATGGTACCTGAGCACTCCCCAGAGACCCCCTAATGCCAGCTACCCACCAAAACCAAACCCACCACCTTTGAGTCTCTGGGGAGTGCAAATGGTTAATATGCTCACAAACCAAACTCACTGCCATCACAACCCCTCCTTGGCTTTCTGAGGTGGTGTCTCTACAGAAGTAGATTACCCAATCTTCCTTCCAAGGAGTGGCTAGTAGGCTTGAACCACTAGTCTTCTTGTTAGCAGTCAAATGCCTTAGGCACTACGCCACCAGACCTCCCAACATGCTTATCTACTCACCAAAATATTAGAAATGTGAGTCCACTCTGAGGCACCTTGGAAGAAAGACCTAGAGCATTACTTCCAAAAAAATCAGTCATTGAAATCCCTGTGGAGCAGTTTTACTTTGACACACATGGGGTCACCATGAGTCAGAGTTGACTTGAAGGCAACTGGTTAACCAGTTAGAGTTATGTAGTAGGGAGAGCAGACACTACAAGTCCAAGCACCACTGTGGCTCTGAGCAACTCCACAACCAAAGTATCACCTCAGCTTCATCTTGCACTGAGATATCAGCAGGGCTTTGGGTAAACAGTAGTTCAGGTTCAGTGGAGGCTGTTCCTATGTTTATTAGTA